AGATAGATAGATAGATAGATAGATAGATAGATAGATAGATAGATAGATAGATAGATAGATAGATAGATAGATAGATAGATAGATAGATAGATAGATAGATAGATAGATAGATAGATAGATAGATAGATAGATAGATAGATAGATAGATAGATAGATAGATAGATAGATAGATAGACAGACAGCGAAACTATTATATAGAATATTTTTTACTTAAGCTACACATAATTACCTTTAATGTGGTGTAATGGGTTTTGGGATAAGGGTCATCTTACATAGATAGTGGGGGACGGAGTAGTTGGGGTAGGGGATTATCTTACAACATAGACGGGCAACTCCTGCAAATATGGCTTTAGAGTTTGACCTTCGACATGACTTAATCCTCTGAAGCCCATGGGGAGAAGGGCTGTCACTACACCTCTCAACGGTTTGTTTGGGCAGTTCTCTTTAGTTGAGCCCACGTAAGCCCAGAAGCCCTTGTACAGTCCGTAGATAGACTTTATTGTATGGCCTCAATGGCAGAGGTACATGGCGGGTCTGGTGGGATTGAAAAACGGCATAAAATAAAAATTATGGCGAATAATTTATTTTAAAAAATCGTGTTTTGAATGCAACTCTGGTTAGAAGCTGCTAACGCCATTTCTCATGTTTTAACTCTATACACTCCTTGTCTTGAAATAGAAATGTCTTGTAATAACTCTACAATCTTGTCTTGAAATGGAAGTTCATTAACTCTACAATATCTTATTTTATTACAGAAGGGTTCCAGTGTTTCAAAGTATAGGCGTGTGGTGGTATTCTAAAGCCGGTGCCTAACAGTGACACCAACAGTACCTTGTTTAAAGTACATGACCCTCCCAACATCAATAGCACCAAGTACCAAGTTCTGTGAACAGTTAGTGGTACCAAAAGTGTCGAGACACCATTCCAGAAGTGATGACGTCATTAGAGTTTTCGCCCTCGTCACGTTGTGAGACAACTGAAAGTATCATTCAGCTGATGTAAGCAGCGTCGGTGCTGGAAGCATTATCCTAATCTTCCTATTGGTACCTAACCCTACCCCCCCCAGCCGGTACCTACCCCTACCCCCCCAGCCGGTACCTACCCCCCAGTGCCCCTGGCCTATGTTGTCATGAGCCTGGGGACACGAAGTTCCTGCAGGGATGCCCTACAAGTACCACACAGGATCCCTGCATCTCTCAGACCTGCCGTCTAGCCAGTGGATCCCTCCACTCCAACCCTCCATCCAGTGGATCCCTCCACTACAACCCTCTAACCAGTGGATCCCTCCAAGCTTAGAAGCATGCTCCACCGTGTGGACGCCCAGCCCGTCCACCGGTAGACGCCAGTGGATTCTGCCCAGCACCTCCCAGTGGATTCTGCCCAGCACCCCCCAGTGGATTCTGCCCAGCACCCCCCAGTGGATTCTGCCCAGCACCCCCCAGTGGATTCTGCCCAGCACCCCCCAGTGGCTACTGGTCCTTCTCCTGGAGTGCTCGCTGCCACTGATCCTATGGAATAAACGCCAGAGTCAGACGGCCGTGCGACTAGTGAATCTTGGAATTTTTACCTTCGTCTTCACTATGTTTCGTTCTAAACGGAAGGATAGCGCTATACGAGTAAGTTGATGCTTGTACTTTCTAATTCTGTCTTCACTATGTTTCGTTCTAAACGGAAGGATAGCGCTATACGAGTAAATTGATGCTTGTACTTTCTAATTCTGTCTTACTGCACGTTTTCTCAATTTTCTTACTGCAAATGTTGTCATTATGTTACTGCAATTGTTGCCATTATGTGTTACTTATCAAAATACACATGCTCTTTTGAGAAGATCATAGGACGCATGGTCTTTCAGGAATATAATATAACATGATCTTTTTAATAGGAAGATCACTGGACACTTCATTTTAGAAAGATCATGGGAAAAATTTACAATACAATTTTCAGACATAGGATAATCAAGACTCGCTTAGCAAACAAAAAACTCTAAACGTCTAAACCTAACCTAGCTAATCGGATGTAAGCTTAACCAGGTTAATCGGATATAAGCTTAACCCGAGTTGTCTAAACCTAACCTAGCTAATCGGGTGTAAACTTAACCAGGCTAGCCGCGTGTAAACTTAACCAGGCTAGCCGCGTGTAAACTTAACCAGGCTAGCCGCGTGTAAACTTAACCAGGCTAGCCGCGTGTAAACTTAACCAGGCTAGCCGCGTGTAAACTTAACCAGGCTAGCCGCGTGTAAACTTAACCAGGCTAGCCGCGCGTAAACTTAACCAGGCTAGCCGCGTGTAAACTTAACCACGCCTGTCTCGACCCCCCCCCCTGCATGTCTGGGCCACATTTAGCCCAACCGGAAGTCAGCTGGTGACGCGCGCATGTCTCGAGCTCCCTAAGTGACGAAAGTCAAGTTTGTGACATAGTCTGCGCCGAGTAATCTAATTTTAGAACCCGCCATCAGGAGAGATTCAATCACAGTTGTGGGGTAAAGAGGAGGGGTGGGTGGGGCTGTGGGGTAAGGGCATCCTTACAATTGGAGTCCCCTACTAGTTATTGCCCAAATTTGTCGATCTAAATATCATCATCATCACCATCATCTTCTTCATCATCATCATCATCATCATCATCATCATCATAATCATTATCATCATCATCATCATCATCATTATCATCATCATCATCATCATTATTTTTGCAGTCTCCTTGTCGGGTTTAAGGAATTATTCACACCTCTCCATCGTACGATTTAAATAAATAAATAAATAAATAAATAAATAAATAAATAAATAAATAAATAAATAAATAAATAAATAAATAAATAAATAAATATATATATATATATATATATATATATATATATATATATATATATATATATATATATATATATATATATATATATATATAGAGAGAGAGAGAGAGAGAGAGAGAGAGAGAGAGAGAGAGAATGTCATGAAGTACCCATGTAGCCTACCAACTGAGCCTATGGAACTTGTCATCAAGTACCCATGTAGCCTACCAACTGAGCCTATGGAACTTGTCATCAAGTACCCATGTAGCCTACCAACTGAGCCTATGGAACTTGTCATGAAGTACCCATGTAGCCTAAACATCGACAATCTACCCTACTTGCCCGGGTGTAAGGTCACACCTGCTATCCTTAATTGACCCCGACCTTGACCCGCAAGTCAGGAGGTTATCACCTTCATGTCGGTTTTGTTTATCTGTTGTTCGGCGCTGAGCAAGGAACTAATTGCTACCGCAATTTTCTCCCTCAATCTCGGGTGATTGCCCCTGATGCGGCAGTTATCCCCTTGAATTTTGGGTTAAAGCCCCTGCTCAGTTTGTTGCTTCTTTCTTCTATTGTAAGAAAATACGTAAGGAAGTGATGATAGGTGTATGTATGCCGACGGTGGGGTGTCTGTGGGGGTAGGCTTATGGTAGGTGGATGTATGCCAAGGGTGGTTAGTGTGTGGTGGGGCTGTGTGTGTGTGTGTGTGGGGGGGGGGTTAGGCTAATGATGGGTGGATGTATGCCGAGGGTGGGGATTGTGTAGGGGGTAGGGCGATTGTAGATGTATGTATTCTGAGGGTGGGGTGTGTATGGGGTGGGGTTGTGTGTGGGGGGGGAGAGCTGGGTGAGTTGTGGGGGGTGGGGTGATTGTAACAAATATATGTTATTAATGTTACTATAGACCCTGACTCTGTACAAGCGGGTGGTGAATGTCCTTATATCATTGCTAAGAAAGTTCATCACCCCCCTCCCTGTTCAATACAGTCACAGGTACACCCGAACACATCTGAGACAGCCACCATCTTTAGATACACGCTATACTTGTTTTTTTAAGTGTTGTTTTTCTGACGGAATGAAAATGTGTGTAATGGAAGAGATTACCACGGTGAAGACTCAACTAGGATGAGAGAAGGAATGCATTCGTTTATAAAACAAAGCGTACAATATAAGCAAAAATTAGAAGCGTACAGTTGAAACCGAAAATAGAAACGTGTGATTGAAGCATACAAAGGAAACATACTTTTACAACTCACAATAGAAGCTTACAATGGAAGTCTACAAAAACATTTTTTTTTCATTTTGCGCACGAACTCAAATTGGAAAAAATTCATTTCCCGTTTAACCGCAAAAAAGTGTCCATTTATAATTAGATTTAATTAGACGCAGCGCAAAAACGAACTGGCAAGTTAATTAAATAAGAACAAAATTAAACAATTTTCCAGTTAAATAATCACAGGGGGGCCTAGACGTATATTCCTTCACACTGATCATTAAATAAAGATAGCTTGAAGCCCGAATAAAAATCTCTTGATGTTATTAGCTAAAACCAAGGAACGAATCGATGGAGTATTCTAGATTCCGTAACGGCAAGATTAATGTTGGACAGAGAGACGTCAGAAGAAAGGGGCACAACTGTGGGTAAGGGGAGACTATCTCTTGATAATTGGGCAGACAACTCGCTCAGTGGGGGTCTGTGATCTGCATGGTCAAGCTAGTGTTTGTTCATCGTGACTTGAATAGTCGATGTTTAGCTGACTAAAATAGTCAATGTTTAGCTGACTAAAATAGCCGATGTTTAGCTGACTAAAATAGTCGATGTTTAGCTGACTAAAATAGTCGATGTTTAGCTGACTAAAATAGTCGATGTTTAGCTGACTAAAATAGTCGATGTTTAGCTGACTAAAATAGTCAATTTTTACCTAACTAAAATAGTTTAGCTACTAGAAAAGTAAATCTTTAGAAGACCAGAAAAGTAGATCTTAAGATGTATATTTTGACAACATTTAAAAAACCACATCCTTTAGGTTGGATCCCTGCCCACACCAAGTGAGGGGGTGTTTGGATCCCTGCCCACACCAAGTGAGGGGGTGTTTGGATCCCTGGCCACACCAAGTGAGGGGGTGTTTGGATCCCTGCCCACACCAAGTGAGGGGGTGTTTGGATCCCTGCCCACACCAAGTGAGGGGGTGTTTGGATCCCTGCCCACACCAAGTGAGGGGGTGTTTGGATCCCTGGCCACACCAAGTGAGGGGGTGTTTGGATCCCTGCCCACACCAAGTGAGGGGGTGTTTGGATCCCTGCCCACACCAAGTGAGGGGGTGTTTGGATCCCTGGCCACACCAAGTGAGGGGGTGTTTGGATCCCTGCCCACACCAAGTGAGGGGGTGTTTGGATCCCTGCCCACACCAAGTGAGGGGGTGTTTGGATCCCTGCCCACACCAAGTGAGGGGGTGTTTGGATCCCTGCCCACACCAAGTGAGGGGGTGTTTGGATCCCTGGCCACACCAAGTGAGGGGGTGTTTGGATCCCTGCCCACACCAAGTGAGGGGGTGTTAACAGTTTGACTTGACTGCATCCAAAACGCACATTGTGTTCTGTACATGCAGATTTTCTCCTCATAAACTCGTCTGGTCTTTAAAATGTTTTTTTTAATGTTTTTTTTTTTTTAATTTTTTACTGCACTTTAATGATTTTTTCCCTATGATTTTTAGCACTTTAATGATTTTTGAATTACGTCACATTTTGCCCAGAAGAAATCTGAAATAAAAAATGAAGAAGATGCTTGATCATGTTAGTTAGCAATTAAGCTTAAAAGAAACATGAACCTAACATGAAGTTTCGACTGTATTTTTAAAGTACATATCTTTAAAATAAAATCATCTGAGCGTTTGTGAAGGACTTTACTTATTTCTATCGTAAAATTGTCCTGAAGTTGGTCCTAGCCTCCATGTTGTCCTTGGTCCTAGCCTCCATGTTGTCCTTGTCCTAGTCTCCAGGCTGTCCTTGTCCTAGTCTAGCCACTGGCCTGTGAACTAGCTTTTACCGGGCACATGTGTGGATCTAGCCTTGACACTTGGTCTTGAGACTTGACCTTGTCGTGACATTTGACTTTGTCCTGCCACTTGACCTAGACGTGACACTTGATCTTGTCGTGACACTTGACCTAGACGTGACACTTGACCTTGTCCTGACACTTGACCGTGTCGTGACACTTGACCTAGACGTGACACTTGACCTAGACGTGACACTTGACCTAGACGTGACACGTGACCTTGTCGTGACACTTGACCTAGACGTGACACTTGACCTTGACGTGACATTTGACCTTGTCGTGATACTTGACCTAGACGTGACACTTGACCTAGACGTGACATCGTGTCTACCGTACTAAGGACTGGCCCTGATGTTCCATCTTTAGCCCAGTGAGTACCCACACTATTTGTCTGACCTCCTTCAAGTCCTCTGTAAGATTTGAGCAGCAACCTCCACGAGCGTGGGTGCTAGTTGGCACACTTCTATTCTTGCATCTACAGTTAAACAGGAATGTGACGAAAACATCCGTTTATTGCAACTATTTTTAAATGTTAGCTAAACGAATGTGACGTTTGAAAATACAACAGCGTTCATATCATTTTCACAAAAATTGGAAGCACAATTTAAATCAGACAGTTCAAAACTTGCTGAATTCTAGACAAAATGAAGACCCCTCCTATTAAACTAAAAACCCAGACTGAATAAAGACCCCTACCACCAAACGGGGTCTAACGGAAACCTCTGCCCTTCCTCTGCTTGTTCTGCCATCCCCCTTCTGCCTCGCTGCCTTACACA